TGCTTAGTCAAGCTCAGTGAATTCTAAAACACAAACACAACTATGGAAAATAAAATAGCTAAAGTGGAATATTCTCAATATTGCCTTTTTTGTTGTTGTTGTTGTTAATCCTTACCTGAGGATATTTTCCCATTGATTTTTAGAGAGAGTGGAAGGGAGGGGGAGAGACGGAGAGAGAGAAACATCGATGTGAGGAAGACACATCAATTGGTTGCCTCCCACATGCACCAGGCGGGGCCAGGGATCTAGCCTGCAATAGAGGTACATGCCTTTGACCAGAATCAAACCCACAACCATTCAGTCTCTGTGGGCTGATACTCTATCCACTGAGCCAAACCAACTAGGGCTCAATACTGCCTTTTGATATGTCCTGCGGTAAGTAATTTTAGAATATGAACCTCATCCTGTCCTTGATTCAGGAGTACTGCTTTTATGGATACATGATTTATCTAAAAAAAACCTTTTTTGTTGTTGTTTACAAATGCATGTAATCAGATGAGTAATAAAAGTGAAATATATAACATATTCTCTAGTATTTGAAAGATTAGTATCTTAAATTACTCAGATTGGGCCCAAATATTTAAACTAAACACATATCTTAAGCTTTAAGAAAAAGGCAGAAGAGAGAAGAAAAAGAGAGAAGGCAGTGAATTTCTGTGGTGCCCAGGACAGGTCAGTCAGTCCGTCTGTCAGTCAGGCATTCATTACTGACGCTAGTCAGGAGTCCGGTGCTCTGGGCTCTGGGCACTCACACTCAGGGACCCAGTCACAGGCCTTGCTGCCCCGAACCTCCCAGGCTGCAGGCATCACTGCTGGGATTTCCAAGGTTCAAAGAGGTTATGTCACTTGCTCAAGCTCAAGAAGGAATGTAGACAGGAAGACAGTACCAGAGGAACGTGTACCTCACCGCAGCTGTCCTCAAGAGCTGTGTGGGGACTTACGTCACTTATTCCATAATACTTTGAGCCCAGGAAAAGTTCATGAAGTCTCAATAGGTTAAGTCCCAAATTCACCGCAGGACTGAGTCCAGAATAAATCATGTTATTTTATGGTTCCATCACATGTATCTACTTAATGTGAGGCCAGAAGGCATTTTCCCATGACTGCTCACAGAGGACTGCTTCCCTTTTGTTTTATCCATCTTTTCTCTTCACTAGTTTAGCAAGAAGAAGCATGGCCCTCTAGAAAGGGGCCTATCCTTTTCCTGCTAAATGTCACTGGGTGTGTCCTCCATCCATCTGAACAATAATCCACCAATCAATTTCCAGTATTGCTTAATAATAAATGTGACCAATGAGCATTATAATAGGAAAGAAGACTACTTTGTAGGCAGTTTTATAAAACTATTAGGAAATAAAAATATCTTGAGGAGGACTAGTAAAATATAATGTCTGAAATATAACTTTCATTAGTCATTAGTTAATATTACCATGAACCGTTCCCTCTCTTCGCCCTAATTCTAAAGTGACACCAGACTCCAGGGTCTCTCCACCAATAATCAAGTCTGTGGAGTGAGCACCAGCTGAATCAAATGCAGCAGCAATTTCATGAAGTCTTAGAGATGATAAAAGGGTCTCACATTCTCTTAAAATTAATGACAGTAAGTGAAATAATAATAGCTAGCATTTTACAAAGTGAAAATATAAAGAAAATATGTACAGTCTCATCAAGCTATGTGTGTCTTCCTAAGGAAAATATCTGTGACCTTCATTAGACAGGACCAAATATGTGACTAAAAGTAAGTCACTTGTCCAAACCAAAGAATGGAAAGTAATGTGCTATTTTTTCAGGCTAATTGATTCACTAATTTATAATAATAAAAGTGTAATATGCTAATTAGACCAGACAGCAAAACAACCTTCCAGATGTCCTTCCGGGTGACCTTCTGGACGAAGCCAGGGCTGTGAGGGCCGAGCCCCTTTCATGAATTTCGTGCATCGGGCCTCTAGTCATTTCACAATTACTTACTGAGCACCTACTCACTAGGCACCAAACACAAGGGATACAATAAACAAGAGAGACACATCACTGCCTCTAAAAGGCTTATAGTCAAGGAAAGAGATTACTGAAAAATATTTACAAGAAATATGAGTATAAACAGTGACAATGGGATGAATGAAAAATTATGGTCTATTTGGAGAATGAACAAAAGTAACTGATATTTGAATACTGACTCTGTGAAAAGAGACATATTACTAATACTAATAATTATACTGTGGTTTCTGTTGCTTCTAATGTCTTTTTTAAATATACTTTTATTGTTTTCAAAGAAGAAGGGAGAGGAAAAGAGAGATAGAAACATCAATAATGAGAGAGAATCATTGATCGGCTGCCTCCTGCACACCCCACATTGGTGATCGAGCCTGCAATCTGGGCATATGACCTGACTAGGATTCAAACCATGACCTCCTGGGTCATAGTTTGATGCTCAACCACTGAGCCATGCCAGCTGGGCTGCTTCCAATGTCTTGCAATTAAAAAGGCTTTAATGTTTTAAGACTTTGCACATCATCCTGTTATAACTTCAGAGCAATGCAGAAATTGAGATGCTCATGAGTAGGTATTAATACAGAGCTATAGAGCCAAAGAGGCAGGGCATGTAAATAGAAAACAAAAAGCAATTTGACTTGGAAGGACTTCAGCAAAATGAAATAGGAAAACAGATTTAAGACTGGAAAGGAAAAAAGAGCCCAGGAAAAAAAGCCTTGAAGACCAAAGTTTCCTGATCTTTTCAGTGGGGAGAAGGGAACTCTAAAGAAGTTTGAGAAGGCTGGTATTTCTGGGAGATTATTTTAGGAGTGGGAAAATACAGGTTGTCCTCAAAACATGTATACACACTTTAACAACTGACAGCTCAATTGATGTTTCTTTCTTTTCAGCCAGACTAAGCTTTGAACAAAGGAAATAAGCCAGTCAGAGAAAGACAAGTATCACATGATCTCACTCATATGTGGAATCAAAAGAACAAAATTAACTGATGAACAAAATAGATCCAGAGACATAGAAGCATGGAACAGTCTAATGAATTGCAGTGGGAAGGCTAGGGTGGGTGTAGGGGGAAGAGTTTAACCAAAGAACTCATATGCATACTAGAGGCTCGGTGCACGAAATTCGTGCACTTGGGGCGGGGTGTCCCTCAGCCCAGCCTGTACCCTCTCCAAACTGGGACCCTTCAGGGGATGTCTGACTCCTGGATTAAACCGGCAGTCGGACATCCCTCTCACAATTAGGGACTGCTGGCTCCCAACTGCTCGCCTGCCTGCCTGCCTGATTGCCCCTAACCGCTTCTGCCTACCAGCCTGATCACCCCCTAACCACTCCCCTGCCAGCCTGATTGATGCCTAACTGCTCCCCTGCTGGCCCGGTTACCCCCAACTGCCCTTCCCTGCCGGCCCAGTTGCCCCCAACTGCCCTCCCCTGCTGGCCATCTTGTGGCTGTGGGCACAGCCATCTTTGAGGGCAGGGCAGTCAATTAGCAAATTCCCTCCTTACTGGCTTTGGGCGCCACAATCTTTGCGATGGTGTGAGGGTCAATTAGCATATTCCCTCTTTATTAGATAGGATAGGCATAACCCATAGATATAGACAATGGTGTGATGAAGGCCTGGGGGGCAGGGGCAGGAGCTGGCTGGAAGGGGTCAATGGGGACAAAGGGGACATGTGTAATAGTTTCAATAATAAAGATAAATTTGAAAAAAAAGAAATTCAACCTAAAATGCTACTGGAAGTTTGAAAACACAGTTGAAGTACAAACACTGCCTTTATAATCATTCAAAGTATATACTAGTATATATTTTGGGGGGACAGCGGGAGTCCCCCCAAAATATATACACACTTTAACAGCTGACAACTTAATTTTCTTTCCTTTTCAGGTTTAAATGATTTGAATATTGGGTGAAGCCAGACTAAAGTTTGAACAAAGAATATTTATCCACTAGACTTTGTTATGGGGATACATAAAAGATAAAGTTTACGGTACAAAGCTGGCAATAGTTGACAAATTGGGGGCAAAAAATACTGAACAAAATGATTCTTGATGTTTGTGATATCATTGCTTCACATTATCAGCAGTGCCTGGACCAGAACATTCATCAGTTTGAAAATAGGCATTAACAAAAAATTATTCATTTTGTTAAGATTATTTTAAATTTTGAAAATGAACTGTATATTGATAAACACTGGCTTTATAATCATTCAAAATGTGTGTACATTTTGGGAGACATCCTATATATA